GCGGCCTCAGCATGGCCGGAGAAGCAGTGCGTCGGTGCGCGCCCAGGATCCGAACCTGGGCCGCCAGCAGCGGAGCGCACGCACTTAACCACTAAGCCATGGGGCCGGCCCTAATATCTCCTTTTAGGTTTGTTAATGGTTGCTTTATGTACTTTGGTGCTCCTGTGTTGGGTGCATACACATTTATAAGTCTTGTAAGACTTATAAGAAGATAGGTCTTCTTAGTGGAGTGTGCCTTTTATCATTATATATTGCCCATCTTTGTTTCTCATTACCTGTTTTCTCTTGAAGTCTACTTTGTCTGATATAAGTATGACAACACCTGCTTTCTTTTGTTTGCCATTAGCTTGGAGTATTTTCTGCCATCTCTTCACTCTAAGCCTGTGTTTGTCTTTAGAGTTGAGATGTGTTTCCTGAAAGCAGCAAGTTGTTGGTGTTGTTTTTTAATCCATCCAGCCACTCTTTGTCTTTTGATTGGGGAATTCAATCCATTTACATTTAAAATGATTATTGATATATGAGCGCTTAACGCTGCCATTTTATCATGTGTTTTTCCGTTGTTATATATTTTGCTTGTTTTTCGTCCTGTGTATTTCGGACTGCCATTTCAGTTTGGTGGCTCTCTACAATGGTTTTCTCTTTATTTATCATTTGTGTTTTTGTTCTGACTCTTCATTTCGTGGTTACCATGAGGTTTGTATAAAAGATCTCATAGATGAGATAGTCCATTCCCTGATAGCCTCTTGTTCCCCTAGTCTAAGCAGTTTCATCCCTTTCCTCTTCCACTTCTAAGTTGTTTTTGTCACAACTTATTCCATTATGTGTTGTGAATCTGTGGTTAAAATGAAGTAATAATATTTATTTTTGATGTTTTCCTTCCCTTTATCTTTAGAATTATAATTAAGTTTTTGCTAATCTGTTCTGATAGAGAATTGCAATTTTCTGATTTTGTCTTCTTGTTTATCTCCTTGCTCAAGTCTTTGTAAGCCCTTTCTTCTTCTTTTTTTCAGATATCAGAGCCTTCTTGGTCAAATCTTGTAGGGCAAGTCTTGTGGCAATAAACTCCCTCAACTTTTGTTTATCTGGGAAAGTTTTCATTTCTCCATCATATCTGCAAGATATTTTCACTGGATATAGTATTCTTGGCTGAAAGGTTTTGTCTTTCAAATTTTTGAGTATATCATTCCACTCTCTCCTAGCCTGTAGGATTTCTGTTGAGAAATCTGCTGAAAAGCCTGATAGGGGTTCCTTTGTAGGTTATTTGTCTTGCTGCCCCAATTAAATCAGAATTTTAAGAGGTGAGATAATCTCAAGCACCAGCATTTCTTCAAAGTTCCTCAATATAATTTCAGTGTGCAGCTAAATTGAGAACTATTTCCACAAAGGCAGATAGACCAAATTGCACATACCTGTCTCTCCTGACCATCACAATCAATCTCCTCATTAAGGAGTTGTTGGCCAAGGTTATGGCAATGAAATAATTGAGATTTGTAATTACTCTGCCCAATTTTGACCTCCCTGACCCAATTTGGCCTGCACAAACCAAACTAATTTTGCTAACATTGCAGAAAGAGCCATCCAGTGAGGTGATGGATGTGTTAACTAAACTTATTTTAAAAATCATTTCACAATATATACATATATCAAATTATTATGTTGTACACCTTAAATTTATACAAATTTATGTTATATGTCAATTATATCTCAATAAAGCTGGGCAAAAATAAAATTTAAGAAAACAAATAAATAATAACAAAAAAAAGAAGAAATTAAATAACCATTCAATTTGAGGATGGTTCTAGCACATTTGCCTCTGGACTTATCTGCTCAGGAAGTTGATATTGAGGTCATTTACCCGAACGTTGCCAAATACCCAGACTGAGTTATTAAGAATCACCTGTAGAGTTTGTGAACTTACAGATTCTCTAGTCCTGTCCTCCAATCATTCTGAGTCTGTAGATCTGAGATGTGGCCCAGGAATCTGTAGTTTTGAGGGACTATCCATGTAAATCTGATATGAAGGTTTGCAAACTGCATAACTACTAAATGAGAGAAGAAAGTTATCCAAAATAAAAACAAAACATGTCCAGGAATTTAGACAATGTACGTATGTGTGTGTGGACATGTATATGTATTTATATGTATATGTATATATATATTTTTGTATGTAATATAAATATGTAATATCTTCCAGGAATTTTGACTGAGGAGAGAGATTGAAATTCCTGGGATACACCATGTATCATAAGCCAAGTTATCATAAAGCAGTGAGAGATAAGTTATTCTGATATAAGAAGTTAAAGTAGCCCCAAGAAGACTTTTGGATTTATTCATCCACTGTAGAAGCTGCCAGAAATAACACGATGATGGCAGGGCAGCAGGGAGAGGTCTATGAGAAACAGGATCTGATCAAATTCCAGAGCCACTCTGAGGTAGCAACAGAAATATCCTCTTTTAGTGAGTCTGAAAGACACAGTGTACGTGAGATAAGAATTAAAAGATACAAGACACTAGGGAAAAAAGAAACCTGTACCCTCTTATAGGAATAAAATAACCAAAAAAGATATTTTAATTATTAATAGCAGTTTTTCTATGGTTAGAAATAAAGGAATAAAAGAAGAAATTTTCTTTCCCGTGGAAATAAAAAAAAAAAAAAAACCAATACGTGGGAGTCGGGTGCAGAGTTCTTGACCGTTAATGAATAATTTTATCTTTGTGAGAATGACTATGACAGTAAGCTACTAAGTGAAAGAATAAAGTTGCTTTTTTAATCCATGTGTATGTAGCTTGCTTTTCAGTCCTGTGTTGTTACTGGAGAATTGGTAAAGACTGTTCACTTGAACTGCGATAAAATAATTATGTATATTTAAAAATCTGTGCTTAAATATATTTTGTTTGTAATTCTTACTAAATTTTCACATTAGAATTTAATCCCTTTGTTCTAGAGTTTCTGTTGATACATATATAAAATGTTGATTAGCTCCTAATTTTAAATCACAATTTTAAATTTATAGAATAACAGGCTACTAGATTGTATGTATGAAGATGTTCTTTCAAAAAACCCTTCAAGTATTCTAAACACAACTAGCTTTGAACTTGGATCATATCAGTTTTTCCAGTAAATTCTAGATCTCTGGTCCAGCCAAATCAATATCACAGATCAGTTTACTATTCTCTTTAGCCTGTACATAGCTGTGCAATTATATGAAGAGAAAATGAAAAGTATATCCTTTACCAATATTCTCAAATCAGTTATTTTATCCCAGAAAACTCTTGAACTCTAAATTTACAATGTTTAGGATCTATTGGGCAGGGACACTAATAACCTATGTTAAAGAAAAATTCTGAAAAATAAAAATAAAAGATAATGATTCTAGTATCTTAAAGTCTTCAAACAACTTATTAGAACTTTTTCCTGAAGGAAATAAAATTTCAATGATAAAAGAATAAACTTCTGGTAATAATATCCAGATAACCAAAACAATAACTTCAATAACTTCAATTTATTTACTAATTTAAATAAATGAGAATGTAAATACTAAATAATATGCTACTTCACCTAGATTAAAAATTATCTAAATTTTAAAGATTAACATAAAATGTACCTTAGGTTATTTTGCTCGTACAGGCTGATAACACAGTGGTACAGACAAACCATTTGCTGAGATACTAAGATATTTCCAAATGATTTGGTATACCACTGCTGCCCCTGCAGGACCCCTACCCCAGGATCCCCAAATCTCTACATGATCCAGCAGCTATCACTACAGGGTCTCCTGGATCTCATTCCAGTGCTGTGACCAGTGTCGGTTCTGACTGTTAAATATTTAAATATCACTCATGTGTGCTTGTGCATATGTAACAACAAAGCAAGAAAAGACTTTTATTGAGAGAGAGGAAATTCAGCGAAATGATTCTGAGATTGAATAATAGGGCCACAGAACAGCTATTCCCCTAGGTCTCCAGTGATAATTTTAAGACTGAATAGCAAGAACATGAGACCAGGAAGGCATCAGATGATGAAGTGAAGAATGTTCTATGAAGCACGTTTATTTGCCCGTAGTTTAAACACACAGTCACTTTTTAATCTGTTGTAGGCTCTAGTAGTATGGCTTTCTCCTTCCTCACATGAACTTGATGACAAGTCCCTTACTTCTTAGTGAATTTGGAAGAAGCATATTAATCCAAATTTTCAATCTTCACCAATGCAGCTGTTTTCTCATACATCCGAGAAATTTCAGCACCGCAGCAGGAAATATGAATGTTTCGTTTTTGAAAATAGGCACATCCTTTGGGTCCATTGATCTGCGCATATTCTTTAGTACTAAATCTGAAAATTAATCAATTTAAAATTAGTTGTAAATTTCATATTTGAAGTTTGATCACAATGCAGTGTTCTCAGTTACCCTGACAGCCAAATATCACGTCCTTGAATGCTGAGAGACTTGCTGCCATGACACAGCAAAATCCCTGAGGCTGGCATATCTGAGTTCTTTATTTCAAGTTAATCATGATCCCAAGTAGAGTTACTTTTGAAGGATACCTAAATTCTGGATTAAGAATTTGTATTCCGTCCTTTAACTTGGTAGAAACTATCCAGGGCAGATTATATTACAAGTATCAGAATTTCTTTACTTTGGAACTTTATGAAGAAAAACTGAAAAATGAAATCACATTCTGTGTAAAAAGTTATTACATTTTACTATGCACAAATATAATGTTGTATATATTTATACATATGCGGGGGGTGAAGAGAGAATAAGACAGAGCTTAAGAAAGAAAATGAATGACTACATTGATGTGTCTCTGTTATCAGTCCCTAGTTCCTTTGCTAAAGAATTGGTGATAACTCTTAAATAACGTCATTAGAAAATTATGTTCAAGAGGTCTAAGTCTTCCCTGTGCCTCAAATTGCTTTTTATCCAAATGATCTGCCTTACACTGTGATATTCCTTTCTTGCTTCAGGGCTGGGCTTGCTCAATCTCACTCTTAGTGTATGCACTTGCTCTGAGCAGCCTTTACTCAGTAGAAAATGGCTGTGTGATCCTGAAGCTCAGTCTCACTAACCTCAGTGTGACAGCCACAGTCTCCAGGGATCAGTGTCCAAAGGCTCTGAACCTTGCTGTGAAGACCACTGCTCTGTAATTTAATTAAGAGTGAGTGGAAGGGCAAGAGATGATTAAAACTCCTTTGGGAGAAGGGACACATCTTCTTAAACTCCAAAATGGAAACAATTGCATTTACTTGGCGTCATGGAACTATTCTGTAAACCCTCAGTGTTAGCAGCCATACCTCAGATTAATCTGTAGCCATTTCATGCCTAATATAGCTCTTTTTTTAAAGAAGTAATTGTCATTTTTGTTTGTCTGTTTACTACTTTGCATGTGCTTTTTGCCATTATTACTTTTGTGAAACTAGACTAGTCAATTTAGTATGACTAGTAGAGGTGATTAGCGAGTGGGAGATTGGCATTGAATAGAAAAAGCCATGACAAAGCTTTGGAAAATGGATGAAGATAAAGTGCATCTAGGGAGAAAAGTATAGACATATCATTGTTTGTTATTCAAGGAATTTGGTGAGTCATAGCTGAAGTACCGTATTTTTGACAGAAAATGAGCAATTATAATTCAGTTTAAGAGAACTTCAACAACATGTATTAAAGAGTAAAACAAAAGTGAGTCGCATGGATTGATATTTTGATGGGGTAGGGAGGTGAAGATAAACCTACCACACCCAGAAAGATGCCAATGATCTTAAATTTTACCTAATACAAATACCATATCTAATATTAAAATATGAATATAATTGTATCATTTGAATATATTTGTAATAAGGGGTGTTTCTCAAAATATTTGGTTTTGTACTCACTGAAAGAATTTTGCAAAAATGTGTCCCTTTACATATTTTTAAGCTGACATCTATTTTTCCATAACATTAAATACTTGCAAAAAATGCAATTTCAGAGTGTTATACGTACTTTAAATATTTTCACTAAAACCTTGAAGTGGCAGATTTACCTCATTTTAATTCATGAAAAACATGTGTTGTATAATCTAATGGCAAGTCCCTGTCAAAAAACTAATTGTTAAACTGGTCAGTCAATTCAGATTTACTTCCTGTTAGAAAATAGCTGATAATTATTCAATTTAAATAAATGTGTTCAAGTATGCTCCTATGATGATCCTATGATGACCACTACCTTCCAGACTGTAAGTGCTGGAGGATAGCTGAGAGGCTGAGCTTGTGATCCCTAGTGCACTCAGTCCTGATTTTGCCACTTATAGGCTGAATGACCTTGGGCAAGTTATTTAATCTATGACAATTTTTTCATCAATAAAATGGGACTATAACTGCTTTTATGGTAGGGCTAGTATTTATAAAGTACTTTGAACATAGTAAGTATTATTTGTGTTTATTAAATAAAAAAATAAATTTAAACTAATAAATTAGGATCACTGTCTTGCCATGAGTTTGTCACACACATAAAATTAGGTCCTCTTCCTTTCAATATTTGTTAGTGAAGCTCTCTTTTCTTTGTAGATTATGCTCTTTTTCTGTATCTAGATCTATAAATCTTATAATTAACATTTATTTTATTATTATTTTTTTTTTTTGGTGAGGAAGACTGGCCCTGAGCTAACATCTATTGCCAATCCTCCTCCTCTTTTTTTTTCCCTTTTTTTCCCCCAAAGCCCCAGTAGATAGTTGTATGTCATAGTTGCACATCCCTCTACTTGCTGTACGTGGGACGCCACCTCAGCATGGCCGGACAAGCAGTACGTCGGTGTAAAATTTTTAATTTTAATTAATTTAAGTTTAAATAGTCACATGTGTTTAGTAACTACAATGTTGGACAGCATAGCTTTAAAGTATGATCTCCATCGTGGGTGGCTGATTTGTGGGTGTGGTCAAAGTTATTGGAGGTAAAACCAGGAACAGAAAGCCTAGGGTATTGGAACTGTCACTTACACAAGTATTGAAATAATTGATAATCATAACAGAGTAGAAGTGAACAAGGAGATTTAAGGGAAAATGATAAAGAAATAAGGAGAAATGTCCTAGAATTTGGTAGATAACTGCAACAAGGTGTGTTATTTGATAGTGTAATCTGATAAAATGAGCTACAGAGATGCTGGAAGTTTTAAGGGAGAAAAGTATAAACACTAATTTCTAAATTAATAAAATTATAAACTAAGGATACATAATATGGCCTTTTAGTATCATAATAGTAGAAAGCATGTAGGAGGTATGAGCAATCTTCCTTATAGAATTGGGAACCACATGCAATTCTTCATCATTGTTTTACCCAAGGTTTATTTCATATAAGATAACAAGAGGTTAAACACTTTATTAGGGAACTTTAAGGTATTTGAAAGAATCAGGGAAATGAAAATGAAAACTTAGTCTTTGCAAAATTTGATGAAAGTGAAAGACCAGAGCAGATGTAAAAAAACATCCTTGAGTTCTCATTTTCATAATCTCTTATTGGATTTAACTTTTCCTCATATCAGTAGCTTCTGCCTTTACCTAATTTACCTAGAATGGTAAACATAAGCATAGATTTACTATTCATTTCCATGTTTTGATAGTGGAGTTTAATTGATATATGACCCAGAGCCTCCAAACTTTTCTTTGATTGAGCACTCCATTAATTTGAAAAGAAAAAAGATGATATAAACAAGACATATATGTACATTTATGTATTTAGAGATTATGCACAAATGCTACTGAAGAATTATTATTATTGTTACATTGCCTTTCTATAACCCATTGGATATTCCTTCACACCCCTGAGGTGGGTGCAACTCATTCTGGAGATCTTTGATGAGGATAATCTTCACAGAGGTTTGGATCACTCCCCCAGCCATCTGAAAACAAAAACCCCACACCAAATCCTCCTCCTGAGTGTAGTTATCTAATCTCTCCCTCTCACTCCAGAGGGAAGCTTTAGAAAAGATTACTTAGGTCCTTTGCTCATGTATAGCACCCAAATATTTTTTTGAGTTACGTATTAGTTTCCTATTGCTGCTGTGCCAGATTACACAAATAAAGCAGCTTAAATAACACTAATTTATTGTCTCACAGCTCTGTAGGTTAGAAGTCTGATGTGGATCTCATAGGGATAGAACCAAGGCTGTGGGCAGGGCTTTGTTCCTTCTGGAAGGCTCTATGGGAGATCCGTTTCCTGGCCTTTCCATCTTCTAGCCTGCATTCCTTGGCTCTTGGCCCCCTTCCTCTGTCTTCAGCCAGCCATGGTGTATCTCTTTGAACATTCTTGGTTGTCTCATCTCTCTCTGATCACATCTAGGAAAAGTTCTCCACTTTGAAGAACTCATGTGATTACACTGGGCTCATCCAGATAATACAGGATAATGTCCTTATCTCAGAGTCTGTAACCCTAATCACATCTGCAATGTCCCTTTTACCATGTAAACTACCATATTCAGAGGTTCTGGGGACTAGGGTATGGACATCTTCGGGGGGCTGTTATTCTGCCTACTACAGGTTCTTAACAACAATTTGCTTTGTTATATAAATTAATACATTTTATGAAAAGTTATGGTGGGATTACAAGTAAATACAGTCCTTTATGAGCTCTGTGAGTCCAACGGCTATTGTGACTAAATGTGACTAAATGGCTATTGTGACAACTCCACATGCAAGTGCTGTTTTTTCTAGTGTTCTTCCAACTATTAGCTAGAACACTTTCTATATAGTAAATTGTCAACTCTTTGTTGCTCATATGATGTTGAAATTTATAGTATCCCAGTGTAAATCCTTGTGCAGTGAGTTTACTTCCGTTTTATTGGAAACATCTTTTCAGGGCATTTTTAGGCCTAAGAAAGAGAAGTAGACGTTAGTTATTTTATCAAGTTATTTTTTTAATTAAATGTAAATAAATTGCAGTTCAAAGAGCCTTGGAGGCACAAAGACACTCTAGAAATTCCCCCATAATCAGTGTTCCACATGAATATCCAGCACTATTTATGTCTATGGTTGTCCCAAATTCCAACTTCTTATTTTTCAGACCTAAAAGACTGCGTGTTTTCTATAGGAGTTTTAGCTGCCCCACAAAATGACTGTGGGCTGCCCTCATGTTAAAAACCAAGCAAACAAATTAAATACAAAAATAAATGCATATGCCAGTCTCATTCTCTCCAGAATCTGTTTTTTTTTTTCACTCCTCTGAAACTTCATGTAGTTATTTTTTAAATCTTGTCCTGAGTATTTGGTGGTATCTGCAGGAGCATTACTCTGTTAAGAACTTAGAAACAGCAGAAGGGAACTTCCGTTCATACTCAGTTTTAATAGCTATCAGTTTCTTCTCCAGGCCCCACTGCCAACACCATCAGTGTCTGTGTCTGTGTCCATCTGTCTGTCTTTCACTCACACTCACATTCACACACACACACACACACACACACACACACGACCCACATTTGGATTTCTTAAAACAGCAGCCAGGTGCGTATGGTCTTGAACTTTACAGCTCTTCCTGTCTCAGTATGTGTGATTACACGGCTCTTCTTGTCTTAGTATGCGTATCTGCTTGGTATCCGATATGAATGAGTATAAATCAGATCCAGTGTCTCCTACAAGATTAGCTGGCCTTCAACACATGTAAAGATGACAACCTGACCCTTTATTGAAACATTCAGAGTAGCCTCTACCTTGAGGATCATGGGAACTCCCCCATGGAACCACCATTCCTGCTTTGTCTCCAAGTACCCTTTCTTTGCTTCACAGCAAGAAACAATGCTGAATGAGCAGACAGTTTGAGATCTACAGCATTCTGATTTCTTTGTTGTTGTTGTTGTTGTTGTTGTTTTTTGTGAGGAAGATCAGCCCTGAGCTAAATTCCATGCTAATCCTCCATTTTGCTGAGGAAGACCGGCTCTGAGCTAACATCTATTGCCAATGTTCCTCGTTTTCTTCACCAAAGCCCCAGTAGATAGTTATACGTCATAGTTGCACATCCTTCTAGTTGCTGTATGTGGGACGTGGCCTCAGCATGGCCGGAGAAGCGGTGCGTCGGTGCACGCCCGGGATCTGAACCCGGGCCACCAGCAGCGGAGAGCGCGCACTTAACCGCTAAGCCACGGGGCCGGCCCTCCAGCATTCTGATTTCTAAAGACAATATTTGACTTCTCTCACTTTCTCTGTAGAAAACTGATTGTCATCCTGTCCTTGCAGAGGGGCAGTGGGATGTGTCTTGGGTCAGTTGAGTATCTCTATAAAAGCTCCCAGCCTTGAAAAGAACATCCTGTTCTCAGGCCTGAAAATATTGAAACATTAAGTAAGTAATTTATAGTAGTGCTTTCTTCTACGTTGTATGAAGTGACCTACACGACGCTCACATTACACGATGCTGTTGGAGCAGGGTATAATTGGGACAGAAATAATTTAAGGAAAAGAGGCAGGAGTTCAGAGAAAGCAAGACGTGGTCTTAGGGAATGAACAGGTGTAAAACACCTTGAGGTGCTGGCTTTGATACCGATGCTAAAGAGAAAGATGCTGTGGAATCTCCAAAATGGAGACAAAGTTGTGGAAGATATTAGTAGAGTGAGTGTTCCCAATGTTGAGGAGAAAATATGTGGCTTCCAGGATCTCTTTAAATTGTGTGATAGCATTATGTTTCATGAAGCTCTATGTTATAGTGAAACATTCTGATTGGACATGCCAGCTATCGAGTTTGGGGACTAAGAGATTTCTTTTTATAAATGTAGTTCTTGATATTTGTATCTTGTAGAGACGCTAGGGGAATATTCTTTTAGAAGGCAATTTGGAGGCTTCTAAAATAGAGAAGATGAAGAGAATTTTTGTTTTCAATGGTATAAATAACTGAAGAGAAAAACTGGAGGATGAGTGAGTCCAAAATAGACAAGAGCTAGTTTTTTATTTTGTTAGCATTTAAAACTTTTTTTAGGGTAGTTGAAATTCCTAGTATAATTAATAATGTGAAATCAATAATAATTTCAGTGTAGTATTTTATATACATTATATAATATCTTTATCAAAATATAATTGTGAAATAAAGGGAATAATATAAGTACTTTCTCCAATGTATTAATGAGAAAACTGAGGCTGAAAGAAATAAAATGATTTAACCAAGTGTGTACAACTGTTATGTGGTAGAGTCCAGACTCAGTTCTAGTCATCCACTCATTCTCTTATACCCAATTGGAATAAACAGCAGTCTCTGTGGCCAGGAATCCAATTTATACATCAGACTACATAGCTTACCTTCAAGAATCTGTTGACAGTTCAGGTTGCTGTCCTGAATCATCTAAGACATGTGAACTACATCTTCCTTGTCTTTAGATTTATTTTTAGTTTAAGCATGCATGTGTGTGTGTGCGGTTTGGGGGGATGATAAACAAAAAAAGGATGGGAATAGACTGCATGTGTCTAATATACATGGTTATATATTTTTGCTTTTTTTTTTTTTAATAATCTAACTCTAATCCTTGAACAAAAGAGTGTTGTGCATGTAGTGTGTGTGATAGTGCACCCAGAGACTGCATTAATCTATCTGAAATATTGGGCTAAATGCCATTAGATCCTGAATTAAGAAACAGGAAGCTGAGGTAAATATGAGAACCATTTGTGTGTGTATATATATATAAAGCTAGGATGCTAAATTTTGAAGAGTTATCTGCTTGCTTTCTGGTCTATTCCGCTGTTTGTAGGCTAGATTGCACATTCATGCCTTCTTTCATTCAGTATTCATTTGTTATCTACTAGGTGATAAATAAAATGGATAATAGATAAAAATAAAATCCCCAATAATATGTACCTTATGGATCTTTGTAATCTCAAAAATTTGGGATCTCTCCTATTGCCAGGATCATCCAGAGAAGCAGTTTCCACAACATCTCATCTCATTCATGAATTCAGTAAACTTAAAGAAGAAAGGTATGTCATAATGTAAAACAAAAACCGAAAAATTAGGAGACTTACTCTTAAAGGAAAGGAGATTGGTGGAGAAGTTAAATGGAGGAGAACTGATGGTGGGGCCCTTACTGCACATCATTTTAGGTATTTTCTAGATAGAGGCATTGAAGAAGCAAGAGAGGAATTTTACGAAGTTGAGGAAGCTCCCTAAGTGGGAGAAATAAACAAACAATGTGTAACAACCACAGGCAATTCTGTTTGCTAATTCCTCTGTTGGCTTTCTTCAGAGTATCCAGCTCTATCCTCCATATGGCGTCAGGCTGGCCTGAGTCTGCTAACTCTTTGTCTGATGCTGCTGATTGGGCTGGTGACCTTGGGGATTATGTGTAAGTATATTTGCTTCAAACTCAAGAAAGGTGATTAGGAAATCCATTTGTAAACTCTGTAAATTCAGGTTGGATGATATGGTAGGTGCTACATCCCGAATACTCTAATACTTTCTAATAAGTCATCTCCTATCTCTCTCATTCTCCATGTTTCCAACATGAACCAGCAAGGGATATAGTTTATTATTTTCAGGGTTTTGCCCTAAATCCATTGCTTTCTCTTGATAAACTAGACTAGACTATGAAAACAACTTTTATTTTCCTAGTTATTGGTTGTAATAAAGAGCCTCTTTTCTGCATAGACATACATCCACTTATTATCCTAATGGTGAGAAACAGGGAGCCGAGGGAAATGGATTCAAGGAAAAGCATGCCATTTCATGCTTAGTGAAGACCTGCTTAATCTTCTCACTCCAGACCTTTCTAGCATAGAGAAAACTTCTAAGCAGCGACAACAGCCTGACTGCTATAAATGAAAAAAGAGATACAAACAAGGAGCAAGAGTCGCCTGATATACCCTACCCAGTAGATAGAAAATTTAACCGTCTCCGCATAACAATGGAAGCTCCATTCCCAAGCACAATATCCCAAAAAGAGTATTTCCTTGATTCTAACCTATTATTGGGCAGTCAAGAGTGGACAGGATTGGGAGTCCTGGACTAACAATAAGCGGAAAAACATCCTGAGAATACATACTTTGTAAGGTCTTGTTAAGTATATCATGTACAGAGTAGTGAGTTGCACAGTATTCACTTTCTGGGGACTTGCAGTCAATTAAGTTTATTTGCTGAATGATACTAACATCTACTCCGCCACTTTCATTTCTTTTTATATATGTAAGATCTCATGGATAATTAGGATTTAGACATATCTATATGCTGTAGCTTACTCTTTTGAAAAGAAATATGTTCTAGCAGCAGTAACAGATATTCAGTAGCCAATCATTATGAGGATTAACAGGTGATCTTCTATGATGACGTATATTTTAAAAAGTGAAGTTGCAATAATATATATTCGTTGGTTCACCATAGAAGGGTGGACACTTTTTTTTTTAAAGTACAGTGCTTTTAGCACAATTGTTCTTAAATTTATTATGCTAATGAATCTCCTGAAGTTTATTAAAAAGGCAGATTTTATGGATTCAGGACCAGAAATGATCTAGTGTGGCAATAAAATCTGCTTTTTTAAAAAATAAATACCTCAGGTGATTCTGATGCAAGTAGTCTGCAGACCATTCTTTAAGATACCCATTGTCCCAAAGGATTCTGTTCCTATTAAAACAACAATTAGCAGACATTTGGTCCACACCAAAAGGTCTTTGATATTTGCAAGACTGTTTTAGTTCTGTCCAAAACATCCATCAGACATTTGATCCACGCCAAGAGGTCCTTGATATTTAGTCTTGTCCAAAACCAGTTGGCATGGACCAAATATGCTCATAGATGTTTTGGACAGGGCCAAATTTCAAGGACCTTTTGGACAGGACCAAATGTCTTGCAAGGAAAACAACAATTACTTGAACCAACTCCATAAAGAAAAAAGAAAAAATTTCCACCAAATGAATGGCAAAATAACTGGTATTACTTTAGACAAAATGTCAGAAATATGTAATTATTAATTCATTATTTTAATACAAGTACAATTATAATTAAAATATAAATAAAATTATAAGAATGAGCTCTAAACAGTTTGGAATAGAAAAGCATCTAGTGTGTTTCTTCCATGATACCTCAATTATTAGGAGCTACTAATAAATATCAAAAAAATGTAAGAAATATTTCTGTGTTAAGAGAATTATCTATGGCTATCGTGAGAATGGAAGGATATATGAACTTGTCTCCTGCTATGTCTTGGAGTTTTGCAGACATTTAATGATATTAACTCAGACTCAGAGAAATTGAGTCAACTTCAGAAAATCATCCACCAACGGCAGAATAACTTAATCCAGTAGCTGAGCAACTGAACTCTGCCAAGAGCTGATCATTCACACTTCAGGTAATCAAGACCTGTTGACCAGTCAGATCAAGTCTGTCGCCTGAGTTTAGGTTGCTTACATGCACCACCTCAGAGTATGAGAGAGCTATGTTACCCAGTGACTCCTACTAATGTTGTGCTAAATTTACAGAAGACAAGGGAAGATGCAAATTCATTTGATATTTTTGAAAACACAGACGCAAATTTGGGAAGCGTCTTGGAATGACACCAATCTGCATACTTCAGCCCCTCCTTTTATGAACTATTTTTAGGTGATCCTGTTGTCTTAAGAAGTTAAAAACATAGCTGGTAATTCTGAGGCCAGAAGACTAAGCCCTGAAAAGGGGAATTTCAATCACCATTGTCCCAACTCATAACTGGGGGTGACTTCATATTCAGAGGCTCCTAAAGCAGTATGTTTTCAGGGTGCTGGCTCTCAGACATATTGTCAAGTTAAATGATTTAGTTTCCCAAACCTTCCCAGTCACTCTAGAATTGTTTAGTTTGCGCTATTGGGTGTAATTTCTCTTTCAAATGACAAACATAATCCTTGTCCTAAGATGTCGCAATACTACCAAAACAGCTGCTATTATTTTGCAACAAATGAGGAGAAAACCTGGACCAACGGTAGAAAAACTGCATGGACAAGAACTTCACCTTGGTGAAGATAGATAAGTTGTAAGAAAAGATCTGGTTGAATCTCCTTCCCTGGTTAGAAAAATTATCTATATAATGGAAAGTAAATACATGGAGTTTCTGATTCACATAGTAGGAATTTAGTGTATTTTGAGTGAGAATTAATAAATGAATTTAACGAATGTTCCCATCTGTCTTACTTCTGCAAACTGGAATGTGGCTCTCACATAACATTTTTCCTATTTTCTCTCTCAGGATTTTCTGAAGTCACAGCCATTACTCAAGTTTTCTTTTTTCTCACTGGGATTATCATGGGACCCATCTGGCAGAAGTTGAGTATGGGAGGATGGCTCTATCCCCTCTCCATCCTTAGAAGTCTCTAACTATTGGGAAAACACCAAGCTAAGAATACTAAGAAATGGAATACTAAGAAAATAAACGTTGGGGACCGGCCCCTTGGCTTAGTGGTTAAGTGCGTGCGCTCGGCTACTGGCGGCCCGGGTTTGGATCCCGAATAGCTAAAAGAATCCTGAGAAAAAAGAACAAAGCTGGAGGTATCACACTTCCTGATTTCAAAATATACTACAAAGCTATAGTAACCAAAACAGCATGGTACTGGCACAAAAACAGACACACAGATCAATGGAATAGAATCGAAAGC